TCGCCCCCTCTCATTTCAGGCGCCGACGACGTACACTGAGGAGGCCGCCAAAAAGCAGAAGTTTCTGAATGATGTTGTAGAGTATTGCAACAAGTGCCTGGAGAACGAGGATGTCGTCCCAGACGTCAGGGAGGAGGAGGTTAAGACGGCTGTCAACTACATGACATCGTGGATGAAGAATATCAAGGCTGCTTTCGAGACGCAGTCGTGGGCCAAGAAGAAGTGATCCACTGGGGCTCTGGCCAGATCACTTCGGAGTAAGTCTCCATCGACTGGTTGGATACCGATGGCATGACCGTGGCGGTGGCTACCTGGACTTTGAGCGTGCTTGCAGGGGCACACAGCGGACGTTACCGCTCTCGCGTAGGATTTATAAGGAGCTCGTTGCTCCTGAGCGTGCTTGCAGGGGCACACAGCGGACGTTACCGCTCTCGCGTAGGATTTATAAGGAGCTCGTTGCTCCTCTTGCTAGCGTCGTATACATCGGGAGCTGCTGCGCTGCTCCTCTCAGCAGTCCGCGCCGACGCAGTTCCATGCAAACGCGTTTCCCTCCCTCCCTCCACCCCCCGCCCTTCCCCCCACCCCCGCCCCTTCTTCCTTCTCATCCCCCCCCCCGCCACCCCCCCTTCTGCATGAGTTGACCGCTTATCCCTCCTCCCCAACCACGGAATGCATCGTGATGTTGTCGCATGCAGAAGCGGCATTGCCGCTTTGCTAATGATGGCGTTTTCACTTGCAGCGGCATTGCCGCTTCACTTGTAGTTGCATTGCAGCGGCATTGCCGCTTTGCTATAGTGATGTCCTTCTCAACTTGCAGCGGCATTGCCGCTTCGCTTGTGTTTGCGCCAGCGCGGCGGTCTGACCGCTTCGTTACGCCTGCGCGTTCATGCCAATGCTTCCGCTCAGCGCCGCCTCAACCGCAGCGCTGGCTCAGGCCAGCTTTCGCCCGAGCCAGCTCGGGCTCGGGCCAGTTTTTGCTCGAGCCAGGCTCATCTCCGACGAAACGTGCAAGCTCCGATGCGGGCGAGAACGTCTCCAAGAGGTCGCGCGCATTGGCTCCGCTGATTGCCTCGTTTAAAGCGTCGAACGCGGCAGTGATCGGCATTGCGTGCTGCTTGAAGGAGCAGCCAGAGATCATTGACGACATGACGAAGTGGAAGATCAGAAAGGCTAGCGATGAATTCGCATCAGCAATTCTGGATGCGCCAATACAGCTGAACTTGGCAAGCGGCGCGGCCTGCGACAAGCCCGTCGTCAATATCGCCAGCGTCCTTCAACGCTGCGCTTCCGAATCTGCGAGCTTCAGAAATTTGCTGCCCACAACTTTAAGAAAATTCCCGTGCCCCCCAGCGGCGCCGCGGGGCTTCATCTTGCACTTCGATGAGTTCGTGTCAGGCAATGTCTTGCGGCAAGATAACACACGCAAGACGCTCTCGTTTTACGGGAGCTTCCGCTCCTTCGGCCCTGACGCGGCGTCGTGCGAGGACGTTTGGTTGCCTCTCGCTTTTGTTCGGTACGCTCTCGATGTACTTACCGCTGGGTCCGCTCAGTTCAAGCTGGACTTTGCAAAGGAGCTGGCTTCCTTTGCCGCGCTGGCCAAATCAATGTTTCTGCATTTGCTGGCCAAGAGAGGCGCGGCCGTGGCAGATGCTTGGGCCGTGGCGCTCCGCAACCACGCCGTGGCTTTCGAGTCTGCGTGCGGCGATTGCGGCATGCACATCCCGAAGTTTCATGGGTTCGCACTTGATACGCTTGTGACGGAGAGGTGCCATAAAAAATCACTGCGGATCGCTGAATTCATCGACAACACGCGGCGCTGCGAGAAATCATCACTGACCCGAGCTATTGCCCTTCAGTGCCGCGATGCGCAACATAATGTTTCATTTGGGAATGCCTTGGTGTGCGGCATCAAATACAACGACGTCATGAACGTTTCGAAGGTCGTTCTTGCGGGTGGCTCTCGCATATCAGCTGGAGATATTCTGCGTATTGGTGAGAAGCGCCATTTTATCATCGGCGGTGCCGAGGAAGGCGGCAACGTGGCGCTCATTGTTCAGGAGTTGCGTTTTATTTGCCAGGTGTTGCCCAGCGCCTCGCGGCGGCGAAAGGACGACGCCCCGAAGTTCGCGCAGTGCGGCTCCTTCATGGCACAGCCTCTCTGGACACAAGAGGCTTCTGGAACGCTGTTATTGGTGGATATGGCATAAGTACCCGCAGGCGCCGAAGTGCCTGCAAGCGTCGAGCGCTGGCGCGATTGCACTTGCCAGAGCATTTCCTGAGATTTATCGGCGCGACTGCTTCGCGAGGCTACTCAGGGGAAGACAAGGGGGCGAGGAGGGGGAGGAGGAGGAGGAGGAGAGACAATCGGAGCGGCGCGACCGCTTTGCCACTTTGCGAGGCTATCCAGGGGGGAGTGGGGGGAAGGGAGGAGGAGGAGGAGGAGGAGGAGGAGGAGGGGGAGGAAGGGGCAGGAGGGGGGGGAGGAGGTGGAGGAGGAGGAGGAGGAAGAGGAGGAAGAGGAAAGAGGAGGAGGAGGACGAGGAGGTTGAGGAGGGCGAGGACGAGGAGGAGGACGAGGAGGAAGAGCGGTGCGCCCCCTTTGCCCCTCATGCCCCGATCCTTCGCGCGCGATCGCTTTGCGAGGCCATCCAAGAGGAAGAGGAGGAGGGGGAGAATGAGGAGGAGGAGGAAGAGCAGGAGGAGGAGGAGGAGGGCGAAGAGGACAAGGGGGAGGAGGACGAGGAAGAGGAGGAGGAGGACGATGGGGGAGGAGGGGTAGGAGGAAGAGGAACAGCGGCCTGTCCGCTTTGCCCCTTAAATTCTGATTCTGGGAAATGACCGTTTTGCAGGTTATCCAAAAGGCGGGCGAAAAGGAAGAGGAGGGGGGGGAAAAAGGAGGAGGAGGAGGAGGAGCGGTGCGACCGCTTTGCCTTTTCAGCTTCTTGGTTCCCTTCAGTTTTGCCGCTGCCATTGTCATCTCAGGGGCTACATGGGCGCCTTGCGCGGGCCCAGAGCGCGACGAGAGGTTGTCATCCAGGGATTCGAACGCATTTGCCCTCCCTCCTCCTTCTCCTTAACCTCCCCTCCCCCGTTGGAGCGCAACGTTCTGGGCGTGATTAAAAAAGGGGAGTTCTGAAGCGGCCAAACCGCTGCACTGTGCAACTTGCAAGGTAAAAGCGGTCTGCCGCTGCGGAAAGTCAGGAGAAAAAGGAAGAGAAGCAAGCTGGTTTGTGATTTTTCTTAGAATTTGCATATTTTTTTTTCATTTTCACTATTTGTTTCACTATTTTTCATTATTTTTCGTTATTTTTATTGTTTTCACAATATAACACTATTGTTTTCACTATTTTCATTATAGTTTATTATTTTTTCCTTTTTTAAAATACATGCTGATAGGATCCTATAGTGCACAATAGATATATTTAGTGTTCTACAGAACCCCACCCATCAAAGCGGGACCCGGGCCCTGCGCCCGGCCGGGCCCGGGCCCCAGGTCGAGCGCTGGACCCGGGACCTGGAACCCAGGACGAGCGCCGAACCCGGGGCCCGCGACCCCGACCCGGGAACAGCGCGGCACCCGGGACCCGGCACCCGGGCATGTGCCATGCCACGGCATGCGATGCAATGCTAGGTTGCATTCCGCTGCGCGATGCCATGCCTTCAGCTGAAGCTGTGACATGCAGTGCTCAAGTGCCACGTCGTGCTATGCCATGCTACGCTTTGATCTTCAACGCCATGCTATGCAATGCTATGTTCGGGGCCGCTGTGCGATGCCATGCTTTGCGTTGCAGAGCTTTGTGAGGCAATTCTTCACTACGCCACGCCATGCTGGGTCCGGGTTTCGCCACTATACGCCGCGCCACGCCATGCTGGGTCCCGCGCCGCTCCCGGGCCCGGGTTCTGAGTACCGCTGGTCCCGGGTCTCGCGCCGTTCCCGGGTCCCGCGCTCGTCCCGGGTCCCGCGTTCACGCTCGTCCCAGGTCCCGGGTCCTGCGCCGGCCCGGGTTCCGGGGCTCGCGCCGGTTCCGGGTCCCGGGTCTTGCGCCCAGCCGGGTCCCGGGTCCCACGGCGGTCCCGGCCGCGTCCCGGGTTCCGCTCTGGTCCCGGGTCGCGGGCCCCGGGTCTCGCGCCGGTCGAGTCCCGTCGTTCCCGGGTGCCGGGTCCCTGGTCCCGCGCCGGCCCTGGGTCTCGGGTCCCGCGCCGGTCCCGGGTCGCGGGTCCCGGGCCCAGCGCTCGTCCGGATTCGGGGTTCCGGGTTCCGCGCCAGTCCCGGGTCCAGGGTCCCGGGTCCGGAATCCCGGGCCCCGGGTCCCGCGCCGGTCCCGGGTGTCGGGTCCCGCGCCGGTCCCAGGTTCCGGGTGCCCGGCCCCGCGCCGGTCCCGGGTCCCGGGTCCCGCGCTGTTCCCGAATCGCGAGTCCCGGATCCCGCGCCGGTCCCGGGTCCCGGGTGCCGCGACGGTCCCATGTCCCGGGCCCCGCGCTCGTCCCGGGTCCCGGATCCCGTTCCGGTGCGGGGTTGCAGGTCCCGCGCCGGTTTCCGGGCCCCGGGTCTCGCGACGCTCCCGGGCCCCGGGTCCCGCGCCGGTCACGGGTCCCGGGGCCCGTCTCCCGGGTCACGCGCAGGTCCCGGGTCCGGGTGCCGCGCTGGTCCCGGGTCGCGGGTCCCAGGTCCCACGCCGGTCCCGGGCCCTGGGTGCCGGGTGCCGGGTCCTGCGCCGGTCCCGGGTCCGGGGCCCCGCTGAGATGAACGGCGGGTTATATCTTAGATATAAGTGGAGGACACTTGATAGTAACTAAGTTATAACTAAGTTATAAATTGGCGCGTTTAATAGTGACTGACAGCGTCTGAGTTATAAGTCAACCTCTAATACCTTATTAGAGCTCGGTGAGTTACTAAAAAAACAGCAGACTTAGGAGGTTGAATTATAAGTCAGGTTATAACCAAGTTAGGTGACTTATACTTAACTCAATTAGCCCTGAACTCTTCGACTTAGTAATTGAGTTATAATCAAGTTATAAGTCGATTTAGCTAAGTCGACCTAACTCGACTTACTAAGTCGACCTAAGTCGAGTTAGCTAAGTCGAACGTTCGAGTTACTAAGTCGACGTAGTTCGAATTACTAAGTCGAACCGTTTCGACTTATAAGTCGACGATTTCAACTTATGTTGAATCGTTTAACCTAAGTTTTAACATGATTAAAACGGTCTTTAACATGTTTGCGGCACCTGGCCATCCACAACACGAACAACTATGTTGAGAACTTGTGATCCATATTTTGCTCTGGTCACAAAAAAATGTTTGCCCTGGATCCACCGACAACAACATAATTTTGAAATAATGGTGCTCTTGCTTTTTCTGGTAACATGTACATTAACAGTCAAGACCATAGAACTCTCATCAAAATGCAAGGCGGCTCGGTTCGTAGCTTATATTGTTTATGTTCAAAAAGTATGGACGATGTGTGAAATATCAATATCTACATCGTAAGCGTACGTCGTAATCGTATCTAGCGCGCGTTACGCCCTCCACCTTGCGCCTGGTTGCGGGTGCGGTTGCGGTTGCGGCGGCGCCCTTCAGCACGCGCTTCGCCATCTGGCGGGCGACGGGCAGGGGGGGAGGGAGGGTGGGGGGAGGGGGAGGAGGGAGGGTGGGGGGGTGAGGTGGGGGAGGAGGAGGCTGGGAGGAGGAGAAGGAGGAGGTACTATGTGTATATATGATATATATGTATGTACTATGGGCATACCGCGCAATATGCATGTGTATGTATATATGCATATGTTGGAGGGAAGATGAATGGATGCAAGGCAAAGGGACGGGGCGGTGCACGGGGGCGCGAAGATAATCGCCTCTCTCGGGTCGCGGCCTGGGCTGGGGAGCCGCCCTTGTCCAAGGTGGCCGCGTTCGGGGGGGGGGGGGGGGGGGGGGGGGGGTGGGGGCTCCTCCTCCTCCTCCCTTCCGCCTCCTCTCCCCTCCCGCCCTTTCCTCTCCTCTCTCCCTACCCCCCCCCCCCCCCCCCCCCCCCCCTTCGCGACGACGACTACGGCGACGACGAAGATGGGGAAGGAGAGTGGAGGATGATGTAATGCATGATGAGGAAGAATGAACGACGGAGGAAGAGAAGGGGGCGGCTTCGACAGTCGATTTTTTCCCAACCCTCCTGCGTTGGGTACTCGTTTTGAATAGAGCACTGCGGTCTCCACCTTCCTTCCTTCCTTCCTTTCTTCCTTCCTTCCCGCCTCCTCCCGCCTGCGGTCGCCATCCCTGGGTGGCTGTGATCTGTGAAACTGTCGCCACTTTCGAGGGCTGTTGGTGGGTCCAGCGGAGTGAGGCACCACGGGGACTCAGACTAGACCTCGCCATCCCTGGGGGGGGGGGGCTGCGATCTGTGAAACTGTCGCCACTTTCGAGGGCCGCTGGTGGGTCCAGCGGAGTGAGGCACCACGGGGACTCAGATTAGACCTCGCCATCTGGGGGGGGGGCTGCGATCTGTGAAACTGTCGCCACTTTCGAGGGCTGCTGGTGGGTCCAGCGGAGTGAGGCACCACGGGGACTCAGATTAGACCTCGCCATCTCTGGGGGGCTGCGATCTGTGAAACTGTCGCCACTTTCGAGGGCTGCTGGTGGGTCCAGCGGAGTGAGGCACCACGGGGACTCAGATTAGACCTCGCCATCTCTGGGGGGCTGCGATCTGTGAAACTGTCGCCACTTTCGAGGGTTGCTGGTGGGTCCAGCGGAGTGAGGCACCACGGGGACTCAGATTAGACCTCGCCATCCCTGTGTGAAACTGTCGCTACTTTCGAGGGCTGCTGGTGGGTCCAGCGGAGTGAGGCACCACGGGGACTCAGATTAGACCTCGCCACTTCTGGGCGGCTGCGATCTGTGAAACTGTCGCCGCTTTCGAGGGGTGCTGGTGGGTGGCCAGCGGAGTGAGGCACCGCGGGGACTCAGATTCTGACCACGAGCAATGCTCGCGTGCCCTTGCTCTGCGGTTCGTGCCGCGTGGCGCTGCGACTCGAGCTGGCGGTCGTCCTTCGGGCCCGCAGAAACATCTGCTGAGCTCGATGAGCTAGGGGAACTACAGGAAAGAAGTGCAGGAAACGGAGGCCGGTCATGCACTCGCCGATACCTCGTTGCTCTGTCATCGTCTTTTCTGTTGCATGATCCTTATCTGGCCTGCCGGCGCCGCGGCTCGAGCTGGCGGTCGCC